TGTGTGTGTGTGTGTGTGTGTGTGTGTGTGTGTGTGTGTGTGTGTGTTGGAACTCTTGCAAACCATCTTCACCAGTGCATGTTTATAGAAAGATCATAGGTTCTAGAAAGATAAACTAATCATGAGTAATACATTAATAATTAATATGACAACCGTGTAATCTCCCTCAACCCGAGTCGTAAAAGTCAGATCATGTGAATGTTGTGTGCGCGTCAGTGTTTCTTGTTCAGTACAAAATCAAAGACACAGCACGACTGAGGCAGGTTGAACCAACACAGTGAGTGTGTGTGTGTCTGCTGCTGCAGCCATGGCACTCAGGTGGATCGTTCTGCTCTTTGTCCTGGGACTGGTATGTGTATGCTTATGCATTTTTGTGAAACTTTTAATATGTTGCATCTCCAGTACAAAACAGTGACTTCACTCCAATGTTGAGTTGTGGCCCAGGTTGTTAATTAAATATTTAGTAAATCATGTCATCAATTTTCTCTATTGATTGATTAATGTATTTTGCATTTTCTAGGCAGCAGCTAAGCTAACAGGGGATACAGGTGAGTCACGTAATGATGGATTCATGTTAGTTACTGTGAAAAAGTACATTACTGAGGTTGAGGTTAGATTACACTCTAAGATTTAACACACCTGTGATCTTTAGGCAGCATATGCATGATCGTGATGTCTTGCATTGTACGCGGTTGCTGAACAGTATCACTGCACCCGTCATACACTGTACATTCAGCTCAATAGAGAACGTTCAAACTACTTCCTTCTTGAACGTATTTTAGTGTACTGAGGTGTCAGCAAATTAAATACCTGAAATAAATCTGTTTATTGCCATATGGCCTGTCACTCAGAACGACTTGGAAGTCCATTTCATGTATTAAAATAGTCAGATGGCAGAATTAAAATGTAAGAATAAATGAAAATATATGTGACATTTTAAAAAGTAAACACAGGTCTGTGGACAGGGCTCAATGCTAACTGCATCGTAAGTAAGGTCATCCTGCAATCCCCCTTTTTGGTTCCACATCTACAGAAACGGACGTTGATGAGGGCCATGACTGGGACATCTTTAACATCAATGAAGGTTTGTGAACACACTAGTCTTGCTTTGCTTTGTTGTACAATATGTCTCTGAGGACTTTTATCACAAAATAAAAACTTGTCTTTGCAGCGGCTGGGCTGGACCTGCTGGAGGGAGATATCGAACAGGAGGAAGTAAGACAAAGACTGCTTAGTAATCTACATATTCAGGTCTATTTGAGTACATTATATTTGTGTCTTAATTCTGGGCACGATAGGATATATGTGTGTGTGTATATATATATATATACACACAATTATCATGTGCTTATGTGGATGATTGATTGCTTCCTCAAATTGAATTATAATTTGCATAATATGATACTATATTTGCTAAAAAGTACAACGATATCTGCTTGAGATCATGAATTTAAACAATATAAATGATGGCTATGTACAGATGTAACAGTTATAATTGTTTGGAAAGACATGAGTAGATTCCCCTACCCAGATATGAACCGTTTTATAGAGCGACAAGCTTACAGATGGTGAAGTCTTCTTGTGGGACGGAAAACCGTCCTTGTCTTGAAGGAAATCTAATTTGCATGGCAGTGAAGGAAAGCTAGCCATTTAAAAACACAAGGATTCAGGTGCATCACTTCAGTGAGTCTGTTCAAGTTTGCACTCTTTGTTTCTTTATTATCCATCTCCACCTTTTGATTTCTCCATTATCAGACAGACAGCAGAAACTCCATTATAGGAGACAAGTATCGCTGGCCAACAACCATTCCCTACTACCTGGAGGACAGTCTGGGTAAGACACATTCACAGTACCTCCCATGTTGTCATGGGTATACACCAAACAACGCTGCTTTTTCATACGTTTCTTTGTCTCACACTGTGTAACATGCAGATATGAATGCAAAGGGAGTGATCCTGAAGGCATTCGACCAGTACAGACTGAAGACCTGCATTGACTTCACACCATGGACAGGAGAGGAGAACTACATCTCTGTGTTCAAAGGGAGCGGGTGAGCGCTGCCTTGAGTTCATATCAACTGTATCATCGTTAACTATGACAGTCTTTGGTTAAATGTGTCCTGGCACATGAATCCACAACATGCAGTGTAGCGATGCAAACAAACACTGCATCCCCATCAAATGCTCGAAGCTGCACTAATTGATACTTCTATTTTATGAAAGATTTTTTCAACAGGAACCTAATCAAAGTGCATTATTAATGTCAATATAATGTGCTATTAGTATGCACAAATGTCTCTCCAGGGATTAAAAGTCAGCTTTTTTTTTCCCACCACAGTAAAATCTTGCTTTCCCGTTCTCTGTAGATGCTTCTCTTCTGTGGGCAACCAGCATGTGGGGAAGCAGCGGCTGTCCATCGGTAGAAACTGTGACCGTCTAGGAACCGTAGAGCACGAGTTCCTGCACGCTCTGGGCTTCTGGCATGAGCAGTCCAGAGCCGACCGGGACGATTACGTCAACATCATGTGGGATCGCATTGAACCTGGTGACGACACCTTGAATTACAGATCAACACTTGTTCTGAATTAATCTCTACTCATGTAGTATCTTTACAGGAACTCTTTTCTACTGCTTTTGTCAAGAACAAAGGGCTGAACTCCTCCTGGTGATCTTTGTTGTGCCCTCCTCAGGTAAAGAGCACAACTTCAAAACATACGATGACGCAGTGTCCAGCGCCCTAGGCGTCCCCTACGACTACGGCTCTGTGATGCACTACAGCAAGACGTCCTTCAACATCGCCTCTGAGCCCACCATCGTCACCAAGATCCCCCACTTCATGGATGTGATTGGTCAGAGGATGGGCTTCAGTGCCAGTGACCTAACCAAGCTCAACAGCCTCTACAAATGCAGTGAGTCCTCTCAGCCGGTCATTCTGTCAATCAAACAATAAATGAGACATAAAAACCTTCACGGTTAAGTGTTTGAACAATCAATAAATGAAATCACCTCATAACATAAGAATGATTTGTGTCCCATAATAACCTAGCAGAGTTACAAGTAAAGGTCAGAGTTTATCTGTCATAAAATGATGCTAATTTACATTGATAATCCAAGGCAATAATCTATAATTCATCATCCTTGGTAATACGCATCATGCAGCCATAGCCTCATTTATGCAGAGTGTTTTCAGGCTTCAGATATTCAGTAATATATTCAGTGTGCTGGTCAAGTCCGACAGCTCCTTTCTGTTCTTTATTCTATGATGTCACATTCATGTGGTGGTACATTTGCTCTCCACCTGCAAGATCAGCCCTCAGTTATCAGGCCGACTGTTACAGCACTATGTCATATATTGTTCCCTTTATCGCTCCTTGTATGGAGGGAAAATAAAAGCTGGATAAACATATTTGACCGAAGGTGTCCTGATTAAAAAGTCTTGACATAAGAAGTTTGCATCTAATAATTATTGAGACTGGCGCAGTAATGAGAATGTACATTCACTCACAGAATAGTCTGGAATCTACTACTTCCTCTTATGGGCCTGTTTCTCTTTAAGATATCGATCTTTATCTTCAGTCATGACCCCTCACAACAACAACACGAGGAGAGTATTAGGTCTAACTGAATATTACAAAAGGAATTATGATGTACGGTAGATTTGATCAGAGTATTGGTTGAAGCAGAAAGACACAGGACTTTAACCCAGGAGACCGATGTTAGAGACATTGTGTCCTAAACGGTTGTTGAGTTATTGTGAAGTTACGTTAGTGATGTTTGTGTTTCTGTTCTTATGTTACGTAGTTTACGTACCTATTTTAAGCTTTAAGTTATTTTGTTACTTTTTCGTTTATTGTAAATGGTGAGAGAATGTAAAATAAGTGACTATGTATCTATATATATATATATATTATCTATTAAAATATATGTACATTTTAGCAGCTTTCAAGGATTATGACGGGAAAGGTAGAGAAAGTTCCAGCCAGATAAGATGAAAGTCTCTGTCTTTGAAGCCTACTGTACTGAAGTGTGAGCTTTACCGTTTCCTCTCCACAGCCAAGTCTTCTGCCTTCGTGGACAGCTGTAACTTTGAGCTGGAGAACATCTGTGGGATGATTCAGGGTCCCGGCAAAGCAAAGTGGGAACAACGCAGCTCTGCAAGCGGAGGGCCTCAGACCGACTTCTCCAACATGGGACAGTGTAAAGGTGACTGCCATTAAAAACAAATACATGTCGAGGTGCTGAACTTTGTGCAAAGTGAAACAGCGGAAAATGTGGATAAAGCATATACTGTATAATCATTTATTATACAGCTCTCTGAGTTGTTGTCCAGTTAGCAGTTAATAAACTTTATCAGCTTATCGAGCCTCTGCTATGGCCTTGATTAGAGTTACTGTCTGAAGATATTTAAAAACAACGGTTGCCTCAAGTGATTTATAACGTGACCTGTACAAAGTACAGGCTGGCAGTAAAAACAGATTGTCGTTTGAAGATCAATAGCAAATTATAAGTGATTTATTAGAAATAGACATCATTTGGTTTCGCTGCTATCCACCCCTATGCTGGCTAATAAAGCTTGAGCCCCTCATAGTCCAGCCAGTGCAACCTTGGGGAGACTTTAACGCACACTGAATTGACTAAATGTGACAACCTTACCCACTGTTGTCCTCCCCTGCCCTCAGGAAAAGGCTACTTCATGCACTTCAGCACCGCCTCTGCTGAACCTGGTGACCGTGCGTTCCTGGAGAGTCGTTGGCTTTACCCCAAACCTGGAGTCCAGTGTCTGCAGTTCTTCCTCCACAACACCGCCGCAGCGGATGATGTTCTCAACATCTGGGTGAGAGAGTATAACGAGGTCAACCCCGGCGGTAAACTCAAGCTCTTCAAGAGCATTTCAGGTACACGAATGACATATACAATATTACATACCGTGTGATATACAGTATGCACGATAGGCAAGTTTCCCAACTTTGAGAACAATTTGGAAGAAGCTGGAAAATCAATATTTCATCTCCAACCTCAACTATAATATAAATGCGTCATTAATAGTGTTTAATATTCTAGTCTATTGGTTCTCTTTACAGCAGGCGTCATGGGCTCCTGGGAACTGCATGCCATCAATCTGAATGTGACCCGGAAGGCCCGTGTGGTTTTTGAGGGCGTGAGGGGAAAGGGTCCATCGGAGGGAGGTTTCTCTCTGGATGACATCAACCTGTCATCCACAAAGTGCCCTCAGCACATCTGGCACATCCGCAACATCACCCGCCTGCTGGCCACCACACCAGCAGGAGAAAAGCTGTACAGCCCTCGCTTACTGTCACCAGCAGGTTACTCCTTCCAGGTAAACGCCTTTTTAAATATCCGATTCTCTCAATCTTGAAGAACGGCAAAGCTCGATTCGCCGACTGTGGACAGTTGTGGTTGCTAAGCTACAATTGGACTATTGTTGTTCTGGGGAGGCCTCTCGTTAAACGGTCAATTTACTTTACATGACCGTCACATACTTGCACGGTGCTTTAACGTTGCTTCACACACGCTCTGCAGGTCGGTGTGTACATTAACGGAACAAGCGACCGTCCAGGATACATGGGCACCTACTTCTACCTGACCTCAGGCCCCAACGACCACAAGCTCAAGTGGCCATGTCCGTGGCAGCAGGCGACTATGGCCCTGATGGATCAGCACTCTGATGTCAGACAGCAGATGAACATGCACCGAATGGTCACCACCGACCCCGACAAGATGTCTTCTGACGGTGAGAGAAGGGTGGATAACTTGACACTTATTCTGTTCTGTGCGTGATAATGTGTTGCTTTGTTCGTCAAACTGAGAATCACCTCCCCCCCCTCCCTCCCCACAGGCACTGAGTTCTACTGGGACGATCCCAGGAAGGTGGGCTCCAAAGTGACTGCGTCTGACGGCAGCTCTTACTACCGGGGCCCAGGCACCGGAACGAGCAGCTTCATCACCCACAGCAGACTAAAGAGCAGGGACTTCATCAAAGGAGACGATGCCTTCTTCCTCTTCAGTCTGGAAGGTGTGGAGTCATTCAGACATCTTGTGATGTACATCTAAGATCAGCCCGTCTCTGAAACGTCACGGTTCTTGTCCGCTCGTCCTCAGATATATCCGATCTGCTGGCCTCTCGGCCCCTCGTCCGCCCCGCAGTCCGAGCTGACGGCAGGCTGGTGAAGGCGGAGGACCAAGGTGCTCCGCAGGGAGGTGCTGGAAACCCCACGGCGGTCACGGCTGTGGTCGGGTCCGTGGGAGCGGCCATGCTGGTGGTTTCCACGGTGATCGTAGGGAAGGCCTGCAGGACGAGGAGACGGCAGGAGGGCGATGAGGTGGTGATCATACAGGACATGACTGTATTCATGGAAGTGAGTGTCAGCATCAATTCACAGCACAGCAATAACTAACCGTGCCTCATTCGAGCTCACGCATCTAAAGCAGACGGTCACGTTGTTGGCATGTGTTTGAAAACTAAGTACAACATACGTCTCTGTTTCATTACAGGAGCAGCCGACAAAAGATTTAACATCCATTATCACAACTCCATGATGTTCCAATCCAAAGGAAGAAATCAGCAGTTAGCAGAAGAGAGGCAACTTTGGTTTTGGACCTCCCCATGAACACGTTAGAGCATTATTGGGTATGATTTGGTCTCTGTAGTGGAATTGCTGTTCAGTTGAGTACACAGAATGTTTTAGGGGGGGGGGGGGGGGGTCCTTTATACAACAAAATATTTTACCAAAGGTGCAATTCAACATTTTTGTAAATGTCAAAACTGCTGCTGAGAATAAAACCTTGAATGTGAACATATCATATATAATCTATTTGAGTTTAGTGAAGTTAAACGGTTTACCTTCTGGACATCTCAAATACACATCTTAAATGGCCTAAACAAGACCAGTCACTTATTGAGCCAAAAACACCAGACAAACATCAGTTCAAGTCAATCACCATTTTTATTATGAGACACTCGGACAAACAGCATGACTCACTCCCAGCTGGAAGGCTGTAAAGCATGGATCATCTCACACAGTTTCATACATGTTCCATGTGTCTCGCGTACCTTCTCTTACATTGTGCTTTCTTTAAGCGTCATCGTTTGCTTTCAGTCCAGTTTGACCTGTGGGACATCTCACTGAGGGGGGAATATCCGGGAATAGAAATGAACATGAACTCTGTATATTTTAAAGTTTCATTGAGTAAAATCATGAGTTTATTTAGCCACTTCTTCAAACATCCCACTGTTCTCTGGAAAATCACAACTGCCTCTCAACCAAACTGGTACAAAGAAAACCAAAACCTAAACCAAAAAAGGCAACATCTGTCATGAAGACTGTCTGAAGTTTTCTCTCCTCATCAAATCATTTTTAGTTTCCGTTAGCTAATAGCAGTACGGTCAGATTTGGGTTGAAATCATTGTTCTGAGGTATTCAATGACATTTACAGCTGTACTCGTTCATATCTTCACACTAACAATGGACCAAGAACAGCGTGTAATGTGGATGAGGTCATTCTTAGAGCCCAAACCAGATAATCAGAGAACTATTACCCAACTCTGCATATCTCAGCTCTACAGCTGGAAAGTTCTTTTGCTTTTCCGGCCCGCAAAATCAAATCGATTAATGCAGCTTTAAATTTAGAAAAAAAAAAAAGGACGTCTGTTATTAAATGTGTATCACGTTAACTGCTCACAGATAAAGAGCTGTAGTGTGATTGTTCTTATTCGCCCACAGTCTCTGTGACTCTTAGTGAACCCTCGAGTTGACTGTGACTTGAGGGAAAGTGCTGCGTCACGCTCAGTTACCTGTCGTCATATTCTATTGTTTATATTCTGTGCTGTAAAGACGAGCCTTGAATGATGTGTGCTTTATTAGGAATGGATCATATAGACATCACAGTGTAAATAGCTGGCTGCACTCTTGCATAATGCACTTACTCACATTTGTCCTTGTGATTTCAAAATTGAGATTGCAAGCAAAAACAGGCATACAGCACTTCAGCTATAACACTGCACACATGCATGCACACACACACACACACACTAATGGAAGAAAATAGTCTGACACAAAATGTTACATATCGGCCTCAGACAGACTTATAAACACTGCCACCAAAAACTAAATACTGCGACTTCATCCTCTACACATGTGAGAGAGCACACACACACACACACACACACACACACACACACACACA